GCACCATTAGCAATTCTGAGAGCCAGGCTTCTTTCCTTCTTGGGAGCATCCATCTTCATGGTTTAGCTTCTTAATTCATAGGCAGTGAAATTCCCAATTAGTTCATCCAACTTGAGAGTAGCAACGTTATTTGATTATTGAATAGCCGTGATTTTGCTTTCGCAAGTTACTGGCAAGAACCTTGTTAAGATTTTCTCAACCTTGTCTTTTTCAAGGATAATTCTTTCAAGAGACTTAAGTTCAATTGTTAGTATTGTGAACCTTGTGTACATCTCTTGGATGGTTTCTCCTTCCTTTATGGTGAAATTCTCATATTGAGAATATAACAATGTTCCTCTTGATCTCTTTACTTGAGGAGTTCCTTCATGGGCCACTTGTAGGGTGTCCCATATCTCCTTAGCAGTGGTACAACTTTGAATCCTGTTGTACTCGTTTGGACCTAGTCCACACACAAGTCATTTCTTAGCCTTGACATTCTTTTCCCATTTCTTTAAATCTTCAGCAGTACAGTCAGCTCGTGTCTTTGGCACGTCCACTCCTTCAGCATTCTTCTTTGTAGTAGCCAGGGGACCATCGGTAACTATGTCCCAGAGTTCATAGTCTTCTCCTATGATGTGGTCCATCATCATGTTCTTCCACTAGGAATAGTACTGGCCATTAAAGAGCGGAGGCATAGTAGTGGATTGCCCTTCCCAGTTTCCAGGTGGTGCACTCATCTTGATCTGTTCCTAAGATGTTAGCCTCTTCAAGGATAATATGACCTGATACCAATTGATATTTTAGACTTCAATACCACACAAGAGGGGGGTGATTTGTGTGGTACACAATTTTTGCCTATTTTAATTAAATAATGTCCTGGTTCTTCTATGTCTTCCAACAACTACGGTTGCGGAAAGATAAGTACAGAAAATAAAGAACACAGAGATTTTTACGTGAAAAACACCTGGCTCAGAAGGTGAAAAAAATCATGACCTACCTTCTAGTAGGATTTTTCCAAACACTCCACTAAAATCACTGAGCCAAAAACTGCATTTACAAAACTCTTTTGTAAACCTAGGATTAAGTCTAAACCCGTTGTGACACACAACATCAACAGTTGCGACAACTTCAAGTTAACTCTAAGTACCTAATACAATTGCTTCTATAAAAGCTGAAAGGTACAATGTAAAATCACCTGCTACAATTGAACTAGAATAAAAGATAGACACTTGGAACTGGTTCTTCTATCTGGTTCAAGTAGCTTCAGGATTGCACGCTTTAATCACACATAAATTGCTTGCAAAATTGCCTTACTATTTTGCTCTCAATTCACGTTTAACTTCTGCTTATGTGCATTACCTGTAAAAGATAACAACAGTGATATTTAAGGGGTTAGTAATTAGAGATTGACTGGGATACAGATGCTACTCTTCTGCGGTAGAAGAGTTCTAGTTGATCTCATACTCTAACTCTATCCTCTTCCTAAACTGTGTTCTCTTAGAGTAAGGAGTCTTTCTCTCCTTATCCAATATGCAACCTTTTCGATCAGATCAGGAGATATTACTTCTGATAAGTTAGATTTATCTCCTTCACGTGTATCTCACATGTTTTAGGTTGATCACGACTGTTCTTCACAAGATGGACCTGGTCCATGTCTGAGTTCCTTTGTCATTTTCAAAACTTCACATTTACTTGGGCCAACATTGCTGTAGATTAAGGTGAGAAGAGGCGAGTTCAACTTGGTGATTTGAAAGATTGTGTTAAGGTATGTTAAGGCTAAGCCCTTCCTTCATTTTGGCATAATCTCGTAATTACATGTGTTTGATAACGAGGCATAAAGAGAAGTTCATACTCCCGAATTTATATACACTATCCTAAACTCATAAGTTATNGATGGGCAGGCCCCTATTGGGCAACCTCTGATCAGATGGTGAGTTATATACCGAGCCTACTGTGATCGAGCGCCTATGAGCGAGTCCAGAATGGATAAGATACAGAGCCTAGTATGGTCGAGCGCCTATGAGCGAGCCTACTACGGTAGATCAGTTACTCATACCGAGCATTATAAGGCCGGACATCTATTTTACTTACTATATTAAGATAGTTGAGCCAGTATAAGCATGTAAGCATATCTTCATATTATCTTTGACTCCCAGTTACTTTCAGTTATTATATTATCATTTCAGTTTCATCTTTCAGTTATCTTGTTGCCTTACATACTCGGTACATTATTTCGTACTGGCGTCCCTTTTTCTGGGGACGCTGCATTTCATGCCTGCAGGTCCTCGTTGACAGTTGGACAGACCCTCCCAGCAAACAGATTCAAATATTAGCTTGGTTGGTAAGCTCCACTTCCTCGGAGTTGCCAGGTCTAGACCTTGGAGTCCATTTTATATATATAGATTTGATGGGTAGGTCGAGGCCCTGTCCCGACCATGGTACAATTCAGTTAACTCTAGAGGCTTGTAGACGAGTCCTGTATAGTTTGTATATCAGTAGATGTTTATGGCGGCCTCGTCAGCCTCCACAGTTATATATATATATATATATACATATATGAGCTTTTGGGTATGTTTANTAGATGTTTATGGCGGCCTCGTCAGCCTCCACAGTTATATATATATATATATATATACATATATGAGCTTTTGGGTATGTTTACCCCACAGATGAGAGAGACATTATTTTCAGACGATTCAGAATATAGGCTCATCGGCCTAAGTTAAGGGTTACCCCTCCAGAGTCTACAGTTATAGAGTGGTATGCTCGAGCCGAGTCAGCACTAGGTGCTGGCCACGCCTCTCCCCAGGTTCGGGACGTGACAGAATCTATCTGCCAATTGAAAACCTTTGCCGCGTCCTTCGGCCCGCTCATAGAGCAAAAACCGACCCGTTGAAGACTGTCGATCTGTGTCGAAATCATACTTCAATTTCTCCTTATTCTTTTCTCGGTCCCGGCTATTGGTTGACGCTGGAAAGCCGAGCTGATCATCTTCAATTCTTATCTTTAACTCGTACCAGTTGTGAACATCCGCGCGTGATATTGCCTAGAACTCGAGCAGAATTTCTTTCAATTTTCGGGAAGCATCAGAACTTCTCAGATTCAACCCTTTAGTAAATGTTTCTGTTGCCTATTCATCTAGTACGGCCGGGAGCAACATCCTTTCTTTCTGGAATCGGGTCACGAAATCCCGCAGCAATTCGGACTATCCTGAATATGTCAGCCTTTCGGGCTTGTACCTTTCTGGCCCCCGCATGGGCCTTAATGAAAGAATCTGCGAGCATCTCGAAGGAATCTATAGAATGCTCGGGCAAGAGTGAATACCATGTCAGGGCCCCCTTCGTAAGGGTCTCCCCGAATTTCTTGAATAAGTTTGACTCAATCTCATGTGGAGCCAAATCGTTTCTCTTCACCGTCGTTGTATAGGTGGTGATATGCTCATGGGGATCTGAAGTCCTATCATACTTTAGCACATCTGGCATTTTGAACTGCTTCAGAATCAAAACTAGTGTCGCGCTCGGTTTGAACGACATTTGGGTGTACTTCTTTGAATCCGATCCTTTCAATACAGGTGGTGTGCCCGGATTTTGATCTATTCGGGCATCTATTTCCCTCATAAACCACATAAGTTCGATTTTAAAGGGACAATTCTCATTGTTGTTACCGCATCCGCTACCGTTCCCCCTGGCCCTATCAAAACCGACTTCGCCCCTTGGGGTGTTGTTATCGACCCTCTGCGTTGTTTGATTTGCGGAAGCACCGGGAGGAAATAGACCTCGTCCATTCGCGTTGTTGGAAGCACCCGGAAACGCCTGCCTTAATTCCGTCATAACCTGATCCTGTCGCGAGAGATGGCCCATAATGGCCTTTTGTTGCTCCCTTAGGATCCTTACTATTTCAACGGCGTGCTCGTCTTCAGCATCATCAGGTGTTGCCTCTCGAGCATGTCGTCGATATTGCCCGCCGTGATTTTAGCGTGGCCTCATCCCCCTCGTTGCGGGTATCACTGATGGAATCTTCGTGTTGAGGCTGATTTTCTTGGGCCTCAACATTGTGTGCGATGATGACATCGTTATCTGCATTTTTAATGATTTTTGCTAAGAACAAAGAATCAAACAAGTTAGCAATAGATGCAAGGATCAACTCAATTACACAATTGTCTAAGCCCCATGGTGGACGCCAAACTGTTTACCCATAAAACGGTATAGTTGAATTTATACGTAGTTTATAGACAACAGGATTGATTTGATCTTAAAATGATAAATAAATTAAATAAAAATGTAAGACTTAGCCTTGAAGTTGAGATAAAACAACAAAAATCTTGACTCCGGGAACAGAGCTTCCGGGGACAGTAATAACAATATAAATAAGCAAGAAGGTAAATTGTATTAAACTTTGAACAACGTCTAATATATGTTGGTCAGAAAATTCCTGTCCTTTACAATGATTATAGAGCTCACTATTTATAGCTGTACTTAGGAAACAAAGTCCTAGAATGAAGCCCCTCTTTAATGATAATTATGAGGGCCCTTGAAGAATATGTAACGGTAGGCAGTGAATGTCATATTCTCTGTAACGGACCATATACTTAATACTGTAGAATATTCTCCATTAAATGTTACCGGGTGACAGACATTTATTTCGCCTTTATAAATATCATTTTCTCCGATAACAAACGAAATCGTTGCCTTTGGACTCGACTATCTTCTGTCTTCAGCCCCACGTATCGCTTTCCCATGGGATCATTTAATATGAACATATTTTACCCTAAACAATTAGCATCTAAATAATACCTGAATAATTCTTACATGCAGTACTTTTGACCTGAAGAAAAACGGAAAAATCTAAGAGATCTCGTAAATAAGACACTCTGTTTCTTTTTGCAACGATATCGTTGTAAACTGAATTTCCCAGCGACTGCCAAAAGCAAAAGAACACAAGGCTATCACATAATCACATTCAATTTATATATTAGGCTAATACATCAGAGTAACCTGGTTGCTGAAAGAACTCATAGATAATGAAGAAGAATGCCATCAAAAAGATTTATTCATTGTCAATATCATCACAATTAAACTCACCTTATCCTACAATGCACACAACAATTTATCATCACAAATACGAATGCTTTCCGTGAGAGTAACAGATTATCATTTACAGGATAACCCTGAGCTACTGACACTGCTACCAGAAGCCTAGTAAAAAATTCAATAAGGCAACAAAATGAAAAATAAAACACCGAGAAAGAGAGGTATGTTGAAGAATATCTAACTGCAACAAATGAAACATGAATGTGAATGTCAATGTGTGAGGCAGCTTGTACAGAATGAATTGACTAAGGCATGTATTCACTCTCTAGGGTTGGTTGTGTTCGTGTCACAGTAGCAGCTGGTGCTTTTGTGCTCCCAATTCTAGTCATATGCAATGCTTCTCCAACCTCCGCAGCCCTCTCCATCTGTTGCATTTTCTTCCTTCTCTTGTACTTGCCCACCCAAGCTATCAGAAGGCCTAACAAAAACAACAATACTAATCCTCCTGCAACCGAACCAACAATTATCCCGACCTTTGACTTGTTTTTCTTTCCCTTACCTGCTGGTACGCGTGCTTCCTTTGGAGGGCCTCCTGGTGGTGCAGGAGAGACTGGAGCAGGAGAAGGAGCGACTGACTCGACAACAATAGAGAAATGCCCCGGTAGAAAGGTCGTGCATATGTTGTCCGACAATACACTGCT